CAGAGGTCATTTCTTTGTGTTTGATTTTTGAAAGCCAAGGCTTCTGTGGCAGCTGTGTGAGGGTGAGGGGATCACAGGTACTGGAAAAAACTCAGGATATATACTATACTAATAGTAAAAATAAACACCAACTGAATTCTTGACCTTCAGAATATTAGCCCACAGAGCATTTTACAAAACTATAGATGAGTTGCTATTACTAGAAATTAATAATTACTTATAATATTTTCTGAAAACTGTTAGAAAATCAGGCCATGCTGGACCCTGGCTTATGCATACAATCGGCTGTAGTGGAGAAAGTTGCTATCCTTGGACTGGTCAGTGGGATCTCTGGTTCTGCTTATTCTTGCACTCATGCCTGCTATCAGAATGGGAAAGCAGGACAAAATGGAGAAATAGACTTAGCTCCCCAGGACACTTAATTGTGCTTCCTGCCTGGTTCCTGGTCTCTTTAAGTAGAGGCTATAGAACCACCATCACCTCTGACAAAGATTTTTTGCCCTTGCCTCATCCAACTTCAGCAAGAATCCTAATAAGTCAGGTTAGCAACAACCCCCCACCCTCCATATCTGATCCCCCTCCGTGTCTAATCAGGTTTCTCATCTGCCACCATCGCCCAGGCGATGTCTAGTTGGCTAGCAAGAATCCCCCCTTATCCCTGATGTTTCCTCTCAGTAATTTTCCATCCACTGACCTTGGCTATAAATTCCCACTTGCCCATGCTGTATTCAGAGTGGGAGCTCAACCTCTCTGCCCCCCACCCCCTGCAAAATCCCAACACAGTGGTTCCTAGACCTATCACAACAGCAATTGCCCGTGAATAAAGTTCCCCTTATCATGCTTTAACAAGGGTCATTGCATTATTCTTTTCCTTTAACCTGCTGTCCCCATTGTATAATAAACATGCCTGGTATAAAAACAAGGCGAAACAAGGTTCCTTGGGTTGAGAGGAGGAGGGGGATTCGATGGGCATTGAGGAGAAAGCAAGGGATATTTAAAGGATGGCAAAATCCTGAGAAGGAGTCCTAAGCCTGTGCTCCCCATCCCCTTCGAGCTCAGGGGCAGAATGGACTTAATGTTTCAGGCTCCCCCTTGGTACTCATCAAAGGTTTGGACTTCACCTCTCTGTTGCCCCAGATACAAAGCCTTTGGCTCACTCTCCAGACTGTAAAAACTGCTTGCAGCTACAGAAATCTCAACGAGGACCACCCAGGAAGGAATACTGGATCATTTATGACCCCCAATTTACTTATTAGACCACTCCTTCCCCATAACTTGATGTTTCTTGATCTACCGCATAACTGGATTTGCTCATTACTACTTTAACTTTGAACCAGTGTCATCTCTCTTAAAGCACTTGAGCTTTTCCTTACATTTTAGTGTCTCTTTTTCTGTCCTCCGTCACTCTACTTAAATCCCTTGTTTCTAGATCACTGTTTCAATCCCTGTGTTACCTAGAAAAATGCCCCGCATATGGTAGGCACACAATGAATATTTATCAAACTAAATTATCGCCCATTTTCCAAAATATTTACCATTGGTCCTGGATTTGTGTCATTTGCACATTTGGTAACATTTTTGAGTTTTACTTGCAGTTTTTGATAAATATGGGCTATTAACTCCATGGACTGATGTTCATAAAAAGAGAATTGACTTCTATCAAAACTGAAGAAAAGGAATAAGACCCAAACTGTCACCTGTCAGAAATTCCCAGATGGAGCTGTAGGGAAATCTGTCGGGAAGCTATTATAGACTATTGCATCCCTGTATGAAAACATTCTGGGAAGCTTTCAAAAGGAAAAAAGTCACCTGGATAATTTGCACGTGTTAGTTTTCATTAGTTATCATCGGGTGGGGTAATGCACAGAGTGTTTGGTGATACTAAGTCCTGGTTCCATCTCAAATTCCCTGAGTCCACAGGCATGAAACACCTTTATAAGAGATTTGGGCCCACTTAAGAGGAAGAAAAATCTTTGAAAGCCAGGAGAAGCTGGGCTGGGGGCCCTCACACAACTTCATAGTACTGTTCCTCCAAGTTGCTTTCCCAGTTCTTTTTTAAAGATTTTTATTTATTTATTTGACAGAGAGAGACACAGTGAGAGAGGGAACACAAGCAGGGGGAGAGGGAGAAGCAGGCTTCTCACGGGGCAGGGAGCCCGATGCGGGGCTCGATCCCAGGACCCTGGGGTCATGACCTGAGCCGAAGGCAGACGCCTAACGACTGAGCCACCCAGGCGCCCTTGCTTTCCCAGTTCTTGTCTCCACATGCTCTGGTGGAATCTAAACGGGGCAGAGGTCAGAAGAGGTATTATTAGCCTTCCTTACTTTGGCCTTTCATGTCTGCTCCCATCCTTCTCCCCCTGAAGATTTGCCTAGATCTTTCCCTGGCACTCTCCTGCTCTCTAACTTCTGTGTAAAAAGTGAACAGGATCCCAGGACAGACACTGACTGACATGACCACATACACAAAACACAAATGAATTTCAGTTAAAGAGTTACCTCAGCCTGGCATTCACCTTCTACCCCTTGTTGTGGAGTGAAGATTTGAAAATAATCTCAGGCATGCCAAGTAGAGAAGACTAAATTTTGGCATTAGATTTTTGCCTTGATTCTGATTCTGAAGTTAAATCTAATTGAGGACTTTTATTTCATGGGGGCTGACTTGGGCACGGGTAGTTCTAGCCTCTGCCTCATCAGTCCTGGGAAGATGATAAAGGAGTTATCATTTCCATAGCTTGGAATAGAAAGCCATGAATCTGCTTTATATGAGATACTCCATTCTTTCCACTCCTCATCTCCCTCTGCAGCCCAACAAACCTTCCAGATAAATGTGGTATATTTTTCTTTACATTAGAGTTTCTGATTTGTGAGACATACCCAATAACTCCATTTATTACTTTACAACTGGTAATATTTCTGATCACAAATGTAGTTGGTGTATGCATGATCTTCATTTCTCATAGTATTCTTCTGTCATATTGTCTAATTGGTGTATGTCTTTTTTTTTTTTTATGTTTCTTTTTTTTTTTTTTATTCTTATGTTAATCCCCATACATTACATCATTAGTTCTAGATGAAGTGTTCCATGATTCATTGTTCG